CAGGGCCATAAATCACAAACACACACACACACACACACACAAATGTATTAAAGAACACAGGATGTCTATGTCATTTGGGTCCCGGTACAATCTGTAACCTTTAACAACTACTGTCACCGTTCAGGCTCAAGGAAAATGCTTATCCACCAACCTTAACAGTTGCCCTTGAAACTGCATTTGAATATCAGAAAAAACTGTGGATTGCACTGCTGCTGACATAGAGGCAGACTCTGATTTGGAATTTGGGGAGATTTTAGGGAAGAGAAAAGAAAAATTAATTAACGAGCCCAATCTTTCCTCTCAGATGGTGCGGATGCAATATATTTTTACAAAAAGAAATATTGTTTCCTGGGAGTGCTGAGGATCCATTTTCTTTCTTGTCTTATGTACTCATCTGTGGTTCTGAAGGGTGCTCATGAATCAGCACAGAATTCACAAGAGTTGCCCATGATGGCTGGAATACTTTGCAGTATTAAACAAAATTACTTTTAAATTGTATATATTTATTCTAGACCAATCCTGCATACAGAATAATATTGATTATTTACTTTAGCAACTAGATAGACATTGAAACTAGGATTGTGAATAGTTTTATTTTTATAAAAGATTTCTATAATTGTTTTCAAATAAATTTTAAATAAAATTTGTTTTAAATACATCTTATTAAAACTGTTGATTGCTAATTATTTGTATTTTGCTTTTTAGCTTTAGTAGATATTTTAAAAGAAAAATAACTGTTTTTGAAAACATATGAAAATAATTTTAGTTTGTGCTCTTGTCTCGGACACTGAATAATAATAATCTTCTGTAAACAGATTTGGTGGTAAAACAGATGGAAACTAAGGACCCTTGTATTTTCATTGAAGTAGAAAGTAAAGTGATCTGCCAACACCGAACATCAGCTGAACTGTTCAAGAATGTTGCAAATGTTTGCTCATGGCGCTGGGAGAAACAGTGTGAAAAATAAGTAAAGATGATTAAGAAATCACTAATTATCATTGACTTCTCAGCACGTATTAGAGAAGTTGAATTAAAAGGGAGAACAGAGAGAGGTAACCTTGGTGGGTCTGATAAGGAAAGAGTGGGTCACCCATAGAACAACCAACCCTAAGATTCCACATGGAACTTCGGCATGACGTTGTTTTTAATGCAGAATGCCTGGTACTGGGGGTCACTGGATGAAGAAGGTTTTCTTTCATTCATACTATACTGTCTTTGGAAATATCATTTTGTGCACAGCCTTAAGTGCTAGCTTCAAGTCCACTAATCTCAAGTATTTTAGTCAAAGAGCTGAAGTCCTTTGAGGAAAGAGTCCTCTTGGGATAGTAGTAAAATAATCTGGAGATACTGCAGTTTGAAATAAGCAATTGTCCTGGGTTTTCTGATTGCTTGAGAGATGAGATTAACATTGTAAAGCAATTCTCTGATTTGCGTGGTACCAACTCACATGGCCAACCTCAAGCCATCTTAGCCCATCTCTATTTCAAAGAACATGGGAGTAAAGTAACTTCCTCCAGCTTGATGAAAATCCTACAGCCTCATTTTCTTTAGAATCCTGGCTCTAGAGGATAAAAATGCTGCACTTTAGAAAATAGGACTTCACTTTGCAAAATGGAAAAAAAAATTAAAAAATCTAAGGTTTCCATACGAAAAAAACACTTTCCAGGATTCTGTATTCTCTGTTTTGTTAGCCGTCTCGGAACATGCCAACTTCCTAAATATAACTCAGCCTGAGACCTTGAGTCTTTTGAGCTACAGCGTCTCCGGAGGTTTGTGTTCAGCTCTCCCTGCAGTCGCAGGCACTGTGTCACTCAGAGCACAGAAGTACTTGGCCGAGTCACTCCAATGGGCTGAAGGTTTCCTCAGGTGGAAGGAGGTGTCACTCCTGTTTAATTCAGCCTCAAAACCTTTGATGCCTGAAACAAGGTTGTTTTCAGATTTGTACTTCAGGAGAAGCTGAAGTCCTTGGTTGGGATATCGCACATACCAGAAGAGACACGGTGGAAGAGAAGTTGAACAGTTACACCTCAGCTTCAGAGGGGCTCCTTCAGAGACAGTCATGTGGACGTCAGGCTGGGTCACTGATTGGGCTCCAGTCCCTACTGAAACATCAATGCTGTATGAACGAACTCAGCTAAAACAAAAACTCTCCAGTCAGACTCAAACAAGAATGATGTTCCTTTTGTAGACAAAGGAGTAAGTGGAGTGGTACTCACTCAGGAACAGGAGCACCCCAAGTATCAGGGTGAACACCAAGGTCATGGCCAAGCAGTGAAGAAGCAGGGAGCTCCTTTCCAGGAGATTCCCCTCAAACAAACAAAAATCTGATGTCGGAGAGACTTGAAGCCAGGTTTCTCTGAGGTTGAGAAGGAATGACAGGGGATTTAGACTCCTTCTTCTAGATGTGGGAGGGACTGTTAGGAAGACATGCTCTCTTGACAAATTGCTTGCCTCTGGTGTCTGACATTCTTTATGTGTCCTCATCTAGAAAATGTGGTCAGAACATCTCTTTAAGCTGTAAGAAAGGAAAGTTTTTGTAAGTTTATTCTGACCTTTTAGAATTCCCAATTTAGGCAACAATGCCCTCCAGGGGCCAAATAGAGAGCAAAGGAGAAGTTCTTAATTTTTGTGAACCTTTTCCACCTCCTTCTGGCTTTTCTGTGGCTGAATTTCAAAGCATTATGATTATATACAGAGGGTGGTTTATGTTTTGTAGGCCCTGAAACTTATAAAATGGGGGCTTTTTAAAAGAGCACAAAATTATGAATAAAAAATTGAATAAAAAATTTTTTTTAGAATGAGAAATAAAATCACAACAAATTACAAATTTCAAACACCAAATACCACAAACATCATAAAATCTAGAAAATTACCTAACATCTTATTACTTATTTCCCTGACACATTTCTATAATACTTTTTGTTTCTATGTTATTTTTTCTCCATACTTTTTAACTGTCTCTTCATATGACAATAAATTTATAATATTTCCTATATAGAAAGAAGAAAGATAATTCAGTCTTTACTCCTAGCATGGTGTATCAAATTTTGTTGTGTATTTATTTATTTATTTAGTTAGTTTTTTGAAGATTTTATTTTTCCTTCTTCTCCCCAAAGCCCCTCGGTACATAGTTGTGTACTTTTAGTTGTGGGTCCTTCTAGTTTTGGCATGTGGGACTCCACCTCAGCATGGCTTGATGAGTGGTGCCGTGTCTGCGCCCAGGATCTGAACAGGTGAAACCCTGGGACACCAGAGAAAAAGCATGCAAATTTAACATGGCCGTGCGGCTGGCCCCAGTTGTGTTTTTTTTTGTTTTGTTTTTTTGTTTTTTAAATTCACAGTGCATTATGAAAATTCAACATAAATTTTGGGAGTTATAATCAAATTTTGGAAAACGTCTGTTAAGTTACTATATGCTGTAAGATTTCATTACATTTTAAGTTTTCTTATGCTGTAACAAATCCTAAATAAAATGAACTGATGATACTCGTTAACTAGTTTAAGTCTGTTTTACTTTCTTATTGCTGTGTAACAAATTACCGTGAACTTTGTGACTTAGAACAACACTGATTTATTATCTTACAGTTTCTATAGATGAGAAGTCTGGGCACAACTAAGCATCAAATTACGTTTCTTTCTCTCTAAAACCATTGTACTATTATTGTTTACTTCAAATCCATGTTTAAATGCAGAGTTATATAATGAATCAAAACTGCATTTAATGTAAAACAATTGAAATCATAAAGAGTGTGCTCTCTGAGCACAATGAAATAAAACTATAAATAAATAACAGAGAGATAACAGGAAAATCTCCAACTACTCGAAAACTAAACAACCCACTTCTTAAGGATCACAGAGAATGTCTCAAGAGAAATTAAATGTACATTGAACTGAATGGAAATAAAATTTAAAGATACCAAAATTTATGGGATACAGCCAAAGCAGTACTGAGAGGGAAATTTATAACATTAAATGAAAATATTAGAAAAGAATAAAAGTCTCAATTCATGGGGCAGACTGGCCCTATGGCATAGTAGTTAAGTCTGTCATGCTCAACTTCAGCAGCCCTGGTTCATGAGTTTGGCCCTGGACACAGACCTATACCACTTTTCAGCCGTGTCGAGGCAACAACTCACATACGAAATAGAGGAAGACTGGCAACACATGTTAGTTCAGGGAAAATATCATGAAAAAAAATTAAATTCATGCTTCAAGAACCTAGAAGAAGAAGAAAAAATTAATCCAAAACAAAAATAAAAAAGGAAATAATAAAGATAAAAGCAGAAACCAATGAAATTAAAAATCAAAAAATAGAGAAAATCAATAAAACAACGAGCTGGATCTTTAAACAAAGTGAAACTGACAAACTTCCTGCAAAGTTTGATCTTTAAACAAAGTGAAACTGACAAACTTCCAGCAAAACAGAGAAAGAGAAAAATGGGAAAGATGTAGACAGGCTAACTAGAAGTAGGGCACCCTGTGATTGGTTAGGAGTCACTATTTGTCTTTTTCCATTTGGTGCTGATTTGGATGAACCTCTTAAACATTATGCCAAGTGAAAGGGGCCATACACAAAAGGCCTCATATTGTGTGATTTCGTTTATATGAAGTGTACAGAATAGGGAAATCCATAGAGACAGAAAGCAAGTTGGTAGTGGCTAGGGGCTGAGAGTAGGAGAGACTGGTGAGTAACTGCTTAATGGATATGTGGTTTCCGTTTGGGGCAATGGCAAAGTTTGAAACTTGGTAGGAGTGGTGGTTGCACAACATTGTGAATGTACTAGATGCCACTTAATTGTCCACTTTAAAAGAGTGAACTGTATGGCATATGAGTTAGTCTCAATAAAGCTATTATTTATACTGAAGTTGACAAAAATCTAAAGATCATAGAATTCATAATTTAACTTCAGATCATTATATCAGGTTTTGTATATTTAATTGCATCTATCTGGAGAGGGAGTCGATTTAGAAAATGCGTCACTGGAAAAATATCTTTAGCTTCAAGATAGAACACGTAGTTGGAGCCCCAGCCTCAGAGTTTGGGTGTTGGTGACAGGTGCACGTTGAGCACTGTGCCTCACGGCACAGAGGTAGGTGGCAGAGTCGCCAGGCTGGGAAGCTGCAATGTACAAAGCACTATGTCTTGATGATTCATCCAATGAGGCTTTCATTCTTCCACTTATTTGTTCTCTCTCATTTGACTGGATCAACAACAGAGAAGCGAGCCCTTTCCCAGGGTCCTGCCTAAACCACTGAAGGGAGTAAATAGCACTATCGGTGTAGCTGCAGTTGAGAGCCAAACTGTCTCCCTCTCGGACACTCAGAGCTTCAGGACTCTGCTCCACCTGCTGTTTACTGCTCACCCCTGTTCAGGAGAACACAGAGAGAGGGACTGGTTAGTGGCTAATTATTCTCAGGAATTAGTTTTAAATTTACTTTTTCAACCTCCACAGAAACTCTCAGAAAACCACACTGGTACAACTCCTTATCTTTCTCTCTCTTCCCTGGGGGGAAATGTCCCAGAGTCTGTCTGATCTTTGCCCATTTCTGGAACCCTCTAACTCACAGTCTAGTTGTAACCAGAGGATGAGCAGGCTCAGGGGTTTGTCCATTCTTTCTGTCGCTCGGATTCACTGAGAACTGTTCTCCTGTCTGTGGTATTGACAAAGGCTCACAAGATAAAAGATCTGCTTTGCTATCTTATATATTCAAAGATTTCTACAGGAAACACAGAGTGGAAACAGCCAATTAGAGACAAGCTACACACACACACACACACACACACACACACACACACATATATGCATACACTGATCTGCAAAGAGTGGGAGGCAGAAAGGGAAACACTGCCATCTCAGGACCAAGCCCAGCATTGTCAGAGAAATGCTTATCTCTCCTCCTCTTGAAAGTAAACGATTTTTTAAATATCAAATTTGTACAGTGTAGCTAAATCATGCATAGAGAGAAGTGTATAGCATAAACTCTCATATTAGAAAGGAATAAATCTAAATTTTTACTATTTAGTGACAGCTGCTTCCTCCAGATTCCTGAAACGGCTCCTTCCTCTTGCCACTTCAGCCCTTAAGGACTAATTTCCATTAACTCACACTTTCTTATAAAGTCTGTTCATCTCTTCTCACCCATCAGATTGCAGTTACGAATGATAATATTTGCATTCAGTGTGTGTGAAAATGTCAGGAAATGGGCACTCATCTCTGATACCTGAAGTAAAAACTAATAAAGATTTACAGATTATTTACATATCTTTGAATGCCAGAAATTCTTTGTGGCTGGAAATTTTTCTTAAGAAATTATCTTATAAATATATGTATAAAATTGTACATTGTATGCAGCAGGAAAATTTTAAACATCCTTCAATAGAAATATTCAAAACATTTTGGTAGATCTATATTAAGATATACTATTCAATTGTGAAATTCTGACTTGCAAAGATTTCTCTGATTTATTTGTCATAGATATATGTGTAAATAAATCAAAACAGTGAAGTGCTCAAGAAATCTTTAACAGTAACTGACAACCTGTGAGGGACGAATCACGGAAATATTCATTTTTTCTAGATGCTTAAAATTGCTTTACTATTTTAAACATGTAAATATTAATTTTACCTGCTTAATCACAAAAATAGAGAACCTAATACAAACTAAGAAAAGCTAAGAAAAATTTTTAAATAAGAAATATTAATATAGCAGTCCCTTTCTAGCAAACTTTCAACATGCAGTTATTTCTCAAATGTATGTGCTATGCTATAGTTGAAAAAATTGAGAGAATCTAGATATTTCTCAGAGGAGTGATGTTCAGTTTATGAACTGCACATTGGCCCTTCAGCAAGAATGAGAATATTAGGTTGGAGAAAGGACACTTATCCAGGCTCTTCCTTCTTTCTGCTCTTTCCTTCCTGGCTCAGTTCTTGATTTCATGTACCTTTGCCTTATTTTTTCCCTTTCCTTCTTCATATTTTTTTCCATCTCCTTCCATTAAGCTTGTATCTTCTGTGTAATGTCCTCTTTAAATAGAGGTTATCTCCCTTCCCCACCAGGGAGAGAGGTATGCCCTGTCTGCCCCACTGTGCATCTCTCACAATGCAATAATACACAGAGGTGTCTTACAGGGTAACCTGGTGTAGGATCATGGTACTGAACATTCTGTCCACCGGGATGGACAGTGAAGCCATTTTATTTGTCAATTTCTTCTTTAAACCTCAAATCAGATACCATGAGCCTTGGTTATAAAATTGTCAAAACCATATGATGTACTCATTTCCTCTAATGGTGGAATGGGAACAGGGTATGCTCACTTCTCGTCCTTCAGTGCTGTCCTAGGACTTGGGCTGTGGTTTTAACATTCACACACTTCCTAAGGGGGGAAATATAGGATTGTCTCCAGACTCCCAGGGCAGATTTTTAAGGTCAAGTTACAGCACCTCTAGAACTTACCTCTCTGACTCCCATCGCATACTTAAATTTTCTCTCATTTCCATCCTACAGAAAGAGCAAAGTATGGGTAGGATTTTCTAGACTCACTGGTCAAAAGGTAGGCTCTGTTGCTCTCTTCCATTTCCCTTGGGCTCAGTGAATATAAGGAATTATAGTAGGGAAGGCTCTTTTTGTGATCACTGAGGTTATGGATTGTATTGTGTCCCTTTCAAATTCATGTTTTGAAGATTCACCCCTAGTACCTCAGAATATGATTTTATTTGGAGTCAGAGTCTCTACAGAGATAATAAAGTTAAAATGAGGTCATTAGGATGAGCTCTAATCCAATATGTCTGACGTTCCTATAAAAGGGGCAATTTGGACACAGACATGCATAGAGGGAAGATGATGTGAGGAGACACAGGGAGAAGATGGTCATCTACAAGCCAAGGAGAGGAGCCTGGAATAGATTCTTCCCTCATAGCCCTCAGAAGGAACTGACCCTGTCAGGACCGTGATTTCAGACGTCTAGCCTCCAGAACAGTGAGGCAATAAATCACTGCCGTTTAAGTCACCTAGTCTGTAGTACCTGCTATGACAGGCCTAGCAGGCTAATTTACTGGATACCATGCAGCTCCTCACACTGAGGATGTGACTTGCTCACACAGTATACGAGAGTGAAGGGCAGTGAGAGAAGTGGAGGCAGCAGGTCCCTCTTTTGATTCCTTGCTTTCAAACGCCATCCTTCCTTAGGCTCAAAACACTCACCCAGGGCCAGGAACACAGGAACACAGTCACCTCCATTACCAGCCTCATACTTCAAGCAGACACTAGAATCCAGAGCCTCTAGCTCAGCCTCTGTGTCTGCACCTGGGCTGGGGGAGGTGACAGAACACAGACACATCAGTTGAATCACTCCCAGCACAGATTCTCACTTGGCAGCTGTCTCCCTGGGGAATCCCCAGGCCTAGAGTCAGCCAGTGAAATACTGGCTCCTTGGTCGATACACCTTCCCAAGTTTAGTCATATGCCTGAAAGTAGAATAAAAATATGAAACAGACATCTATTCTTCACCCAGGAGTTCCCTTGAGAGTATTTATGAGTTTTAAACTCTAAGATGCTGAGTCCAAAAGATGAAAACAAGGACGGCATCCACCCACAACCCTTTTCTTATTGCTTTTTCACAACTCAAGAGAAAGAATATATCTTATTGGTCATCTGATGCTCCGAGGAGCTCAAAATTCTTTTTTTACATTCAGGAAAGCCGCCAAGTCTTATACCATCATGAGAAGGATGGAGAAAGCCCAGCCAAATGACATGAAAGAGAAAATGAGACTCAGATGCAGAGTATGATGTGCTCAAAATGACTCCGAAGGTTTAGGTCAGAGTCTGATCTGGAAGCTAAGGTTCCTTATTCTCTGCTCTCCTAAAATGCCTCTAGGGGTCATGTGTCTCTGGGAGGGCATGTATAGACTGCATGTCCTGGGATAAAGGAAACAAGAGGCCTGGAATGACCCTCGTTCTTACACTCCACAAACCCTGTTCATAACCCACCTTTCTCCATTCTCTGTGTGTGACTAGTGGCTGCATACACAGAGTTGACTGGCAGAGGAGAAGAGAAAGGAGGGATGGAAGGAAAGGCAGTGTGAGAAAGAAGGAGGGAGTAGCCTTGAAGACTTTTTCTTATTTTCTCCCATTTAAGAAAAGTGAAATAGATTGAGGAAGATAATTTCCTTCCCGTCAAAAAAAATGCTGCTTTTCTCTATCACTACAAGAAATCGACAAAAATAGATCAATTAAGCTTGAAAGCTGCAAGCCACTTCCTGTCTTCCACCTTCTTTTTTTGAGTGGAAGGAAAATCTTTCATAACACATTGGGACAAGGCCAGGAATCACTGGATGCTGGAAGCTGTGCACAGACTGTTCTGCTGATAACAAAGAGAATAAAATATATCATGTGTCACTGATTCTGTATAACTTCAATACTGAATGAGCCAGCCACTCCTCCAACTGATCAGGGATGTTATTGACAGACACTACAGCCCCCTCTTCTGACTAAATATGTGAATGCCTTCATTCCTATCCTAGGAAAGTCCACCAATCTTCTTTTGTAAAGTTGTTTTACCGAAATGGAAGAGAATAACTTATATGTGCTCATGATGTTACAGAAGGTGCTTAACCATTTTCGGTCATTTGTGGCTTCAGAATGATCACCATGTGTGACAATTTTTGTAATATTAACAACGTTTTTGGTTTTTTATTCATTTTTTAAAAACCAAATGACCTTTCCTCCATTCAGGCAATTGGGTGATTCTCTGCTCTTTACTTCAAGGAAAGGGTGCACAGCTGGAAAAAGAAAATAAAGACGTCTTTCTTACCATTTTATTTCAAAAATTTCAGCCCTATAGCCAAGTGAAAGGATATAGCATAAACTATAGATTTAGGAGATGATACAATGAAATAATATGTTTGCCAACCTAAGACAAAATAAATATTTTCTAAGTGGAGCCAGGGGGAGGGGAAAGATATCAAAGAAAAGCAAAGAGGCTTAAGTATTATGTGTCCTTTGAAGGGATGCTGGACCTTAACCCCTTAAAGACGTCTTGGAAAGAAAATCACAAAAACTCTGGGTTACTTTCAGTTATTAAATAAATCTCAGGGCAGTCCTGTTTAAAACTTCTTCATTTCCCTCCTTTGCTCTCCAAACTTGAGGCTTGACTCCTGGCTGCAATGAGGTCAGCATAGCCTGCTTTCTTCTCTTCCTCCATCTTTTTTCTTTGGTTCTAATTCCCTTACAGTTAGAGCAAAAGAATAAAAACAAGAAGAGAAATTTAAACAAAAGCAGCAAGAGCTTTCTTACTTAACTGGTATGCATTTTTGGGTGTGGCGGCTTCCTTGACCAACTACTGATAGCCTCTGTGTGGTGAGAACTCTGTGAGGGAGCACCCAGAGGACCTCAGAGACCTCCTCCAGGCAGGGTCCTCCCCTTCCTGTCAGTTCCCACTCAGGGAGCACTCCCACAGCTCTTACTCTCTCTTCTCCTGGGAGGAGCACTGACAGGGTCAGCTGAGGCCCTGCTTCAGAGGCAGCACTTGCCCCACAGAGCCCTCGCTCCTCCTCACTCACCGTGCCTAATGGAGAAACCAAGGCAGTCCAATTGCTGCCCCTCTTCACTCCACCGTCTCTCCCTGATTTCTTCGTGTTCTGCGTAAGTGGGTGCAAAAGTAGATTCAAGTCTGCTGTAGAAGCACATATCCAAAGATGGAACGCCATGCAATTTTCCTTTTTA